TGTACTGATCCGTGTTCCATTGTTGTCTCTCTGTACTGATCCGTGTTACATTGTTGTCTCTCTGTACTGATCCGTGTTCCATTGTTATCTCTCTGTACTGATCCGTGTTCCATTGTCGTCTCTCTGTACTGATCCGTGTTCCATTGTCGTCTCTCTGTACTGATCCGTGTTCCATTGTTGTCTCTCTGTACTGATCCGTGTTCCATTGTCGTCTCTCTGTACTGATCCGTGTTCCATTGTTGTCTCTCTGTACTGATCCGTGTTACATTGTCGTCTCTCTGTACTGATCCGTGTTCCATTGTCGTCTCTCTGTACTGATCCGTGTTCCATTGTCGTCTCTCTGTACTGATCCGTGTTCCATTGTTGTCTCTCTGTACTGATCCGTGTTCCATTGTCGTCTCTCTGTACTGATCCGTGTTCCATTGTTGTCTCTCTGTACTGATCCGTGTTCCATTGTCGTCTCTCTGTACTGATCCGTGTTCCATTTTTATCTCTCTGTACTGATCCGTGTTCCATTGTCGTCTCTCTGTACTGATCCGTGTTCCATTGTCGTCTCTCTGTACTGATCCGTGTTCCATTGTTGTCTCTCTGTACTGATCCGTGTTGTATCTTCTATGGCCAGCTTGGCTCGGTGTGGAGATGGAGTCTCAGGAACCCCCCGCAGTTCATTACAGCCGTTGGACGGAACACAATCAGGATGAAGTCAGTGTCAGCACATCGACCACCGAGACCCCGGCCTGGAGGAGGTAATGACTGGCTCCCCCATTGCTGACCCGCATCTGAAAATGCTCTCTGCTTGGCTGTGTCTAGACCCTTGACCTGGAACAATCCTGTGCCTGGTGATACCGGATTCATGATCTGGGTCAGTGACCCCGGAACCATGCAAGCCATAGATCAGTGTGACAGCCAGGCGTGGGGCATTCTCAGGGAAGAGAGGTCAGTCGCAGCGTGCAGACATTCCCCTATTGGAGGTATAACTTGTCCAATGACACACGTGGAGGAAAATACATGGGATGCCATTGCTTACATGTTCCTGAAGATACCGCATGCCTGGCTTCCATGCTGATTCACAAATTAATGTATTCATTATTACATCATTAAATTTACCCCCCCTGCCCCCCCCCCCCCCCAGTCTTACACAGGTGTACCAGCTCCTCCCCCTTCAGTCTTATACAGGTGTACCAGCTCCTCCCCCTTCAGTCTTTTACAGGTGTACTGGCTCCTCCCCATTCAGTCTTGCACAGGTGTACCAGCTCCTCCCCCTTCAGTCTTATACAGGTGTAACAGCTCCTCCCCCTTCAGTCCTATACAGGTGTACCAGCTCCTCCCCATTCAGTCTTATACAGGTGTACTGGCTCCTCCCCTTCAGTCATATACAGGTGTACCAGCTCCTCCCCCTTTAGTCTTATACAGGTGTACTGGCTCCTCCCCCTTCAGTCTTATACAGGTGTACTGGCTCCTCCCCTTCAGTCTTGCACAGGTTTTACCGGCTCCTCCCCTTCAGTCTTGCACAGGTGTAGGGGCTCCTCCCCTTCAGTCTTGCACAGGTGTACCGGCTCCTCCCCTCCAGTCTTGTACAGGTGTTCTGGCTCCTCCCATTCAGTCTTATACAGGTGTACCGGCTCCTCCCCCTCAGTCTTGCACAGGTGTGAGGATCAGGGGGGCACAACACTGGGATCAGGAGGGCACAGTATAGGGGGAGTCAGGGGGGCACAGTACTGGGATCAGGAGGTCATAGTACAGGGGGAGTCAGGGGGGCACAATATTGGGATCAGGAGGGCACAATATTGGGATCAGGAGGGCACAGTACAGGGGGGGTCGGGGGGGCACAATACTGGGATCAGGAGGTCACAGTACAGGGGGAGTCAGGAGGGCACAGTACAGGGGGAGTCAGGGGGGCACAATATTGGGATCAGGGAGGGCACAGTACAGGGGGAGTCGGGGGGGCACAATATTGGGATCAGGAGGGCACAGTACAGGGGGGGGTCGGGGGGACACAATACTGGGATCAGGAGGGCACAGTACAGGGGGAGTCAGGGGGGCACAATACTGGGATCAGGGATCAGGAGGTCATAGTACAGGGGGAGTCAGGAGGGCACAATATTGGGATCAGGAGGGCACAGTACAGGGGAAGTCAGGAGGGCACAATATTGGGATCAGGAGGTCATAGTACAGGGGAGGTCGGGGGGGGGGCACAATATTGGGATCAGGAGGGCACAGTACAGGGGAGTCAGGGGGGCACAATATTGGGATCAGGAGGGCACAGTACAGGTTCTGGGTAGTTCCCTGGGCCACGTCGGGACAGCTTAGTAACAAGCGTGACTGTTCCAGCAAAACCAGGACAGCTGGCGAGTATGTTGTAATGAAAGATTATCATGGGGCCCCGAGGTTCCCAGGCATGAGGATGGCCCCCGATCTCTGCTGCTCCTAGACATAAGACAACTCCACCCAATCCTAAATCTCAAGCTCCTGGTTTCTGATGCTCAGATTTCTCTGCAGATCCGTCCTGTCTGGCCGCCAAATTGTCCTTCATAGATAGGCAACTCCTATCCTAATATTGATCATTGGATCCAAATCCATAATAACTGCAGCAGGAGGGAAGAGACTCAGAAATTGCACCCGTGGCTTCTTATCGTTGTTATCATTATGTTGTCATGTTACAATGTATCCCCCTCCCCCCTGAAATGTCCCCCATGTTGTCATGTTACAATGTATCCCCCTCCCCCCTGAAATGTCCCCCATGTTGTCATGTTACAATGTATCCCCCTCCCCCCCCGAAATGTCCCCCATGTTGTCATGTTACAATGTATTCCCCCCCCCCCCCTGAAATGTCCCCCATGTTGTCATGTTACAATGTATTCCCCCCCCCCCTGAAATGTCCCCCATGTTGTCATGTTACAATGTATCCCCCTCCCCCCTGAAATGTCCCCCATGTTGTCATGTTACAATGTATTCCCCTCCCCCTGAAATGTCCCCCATGTTGTCATGTTACAATGTATCCCCCTCCCCCCTGAAATGTCCCCCATGTTGTCATGTTACAATGTATCCCCCTCCCCCCTGAAATGTCCCCCATGTTGTCATGTTACAATGTATTCCCCTCCCCCTGAAATGTCCCCCATGTTGTCATGTTACAATGTATCCCCTCCCCCCCTGAAATGTCCCCCATGTTGTCATGTTACAATGTATCCCCCTCCCCCCTGAAATGTCCCCCATGTTGTCATGTTACAATGTATCCCCCCCCCCCTGAAATCTCCCCCATGTTGTCATGTTACAATGTATTCCCCTCCCCCTGAAATGTCCCCCATGTTGTCATGTTACAATGTATTCCCCTCCCCCCTGAAATGTCCCCCATGTTGTCATGTTACAATGTATCCCCCCCCCCCCTTAAATGTCCCCCATGTTGTCATGTTACAATGTATCCCCCTCCCCCCTGAAATGTCCCCCATGTTGTCATGTTACAATGTATTTTGTAGGACCCCCTTTGGCTGCCATTCCAGCTGCAAGTCTTTTTGGGGATGTCTCTTTGCACATCTAGAGAGGGACATTTCTGCCCGTTCTTCTTTGCAGAATCCCTCAAGCTGTCAGATTGGATGGAGGGCGTCTGGGAACAGCAATTCTCAGGTCTGGCCACAGATTCTCCATTGGATTTGGGTCTGGACTGTGATTGGGCCATTCTAACACATGAAGATGCTTTGATGGGAACCATTCCATTGTTGGTCTGGCTGGATGTTTCGGGTTGTTGTCCTGCTGGAAGGGGAACCTCCGCCCCGGTCTCAAGTCTTCTGCAGACTCTAACAGGTTCTCTTCTAAGATTGCCCTGTATTTGGCTCCATCCATCTTCCCATCAACTCTGACCAGCTTCCTGTTCCTGCTGAAGAAAAGCAACCCCACCATATGATGCTGCCACCACCATGTTTCACGGTGGGGATGGTGTGTTCAGGGGGATGGGCAGTGTTAGTTTTCCCCCACACATAGCATTTTACTTTTAGGCAGTAAAGTCCCATGTTGGTCTCCTCTGACCAGAGCCCCTTCTTCCATGTTTGCTGTGTCCCCCACATGGCTTCTCACAACCTGCAGACGGGACTTCTGATGGCTTTCCTCCAACAATGGCTTCTTCTTGTCACTCTTCCATAAAGGCAGATTTGTGGACGACTAATAGTTGTCCTGAGGACAGATTCTCCCCCCTGAGCTGTGATCTCTGCAGCTCCTCCACAGTTCCCATGGGTCACCTGGCTGCTTCTCTGATGAATGCTCTCCTTGCCCGGCCGGTCAGTGCAGGTGGACGGCCATGTCTTGGTAGGTTGGCAGTTGTGCCGTACTCCTCCCATGTTCAGATGATGGATTGAACACAGAGCTCCGTGAGATGGGCAAAGCTTGGGAGATTTATTTATAACCTAACCCTGCTTTCAACTTCTCCACAACTTTATCCCTGACCTGTCTAGTGTGTTCCTTGGCCTTCATGATGCTGTTTGTTCACTAATGTTCTCTAACAAACCTCTGAGGGCTTCACAGAACAGCTGGATTTATACTGAGATCACATGACACACAGGGGGACTCTGTGTTGTAATTAGGGGACTTCTGAAGGCAATTGGTTCCACTAGATTTTAGTTAGGGGGATCACAATAAAGGGGGCTGAATACAAGCTTTTCACAGATTTATTGGTCACAAATGTTGGAAACCATTTCTCATTCTCCTTCCACTTCACAATTATGTGCCACTTTGTGTCGGTCCATCACATCCAATCCCAATAACAGGCACTGACGGTTCTGGTGGTCACATGACAACATGGGGGACATAGGGGGGTGAAGACTTTTTCAAGGCACTGTAGTATAATGCCGAGGGCGTTGGCTGCAATGTACAAAGCATGCAAAATGAATGACATAAATATAGAGTATCACATTTCCTTCCCACCTTTACAATTCACGAATGGGACGTCTCGTTTTCTCGTTTTTCCTTGCAGAGTCTACAACGTGCTGTGTACCGGGAGGATCGGAGTCCTTATGAAAGTCCTGGGAGGACTGGCCTTGTTCTGGATTATATTCATCATCGGTTACGTCACGGGGTACTACGTACACAAGTGCAAGAAAGTGTAGGAGGAAACCGGCCAATGGGAACCATGCTACATGAAGATGAGAGAACGGCGCCCCCTATGCCAGGACTGGAGGAAATGCTTCACCTATGAAGGATCAGAGCGCCACACATCTCTCAGGACATTCACAATGGATTGTAGAGAAAAAGCAGCTCAGAAAATGAAGGATTCTATTCGCCTCGGTAATGGAAGATTGGAGGAAAGTGTCTGGTTGCCTTTAGCAACCCAGTCAGATAATATTTCACTTGCTTTATGCAGCATCAGGGGCGGACTGACCATTCGGGCACTGCCAGAGGGCCCAGGGTCAGTAGGGGGCCCATGAGATGGCCTTAGTACCTTTCATAGGCTTCTTTGGGTGTGGGTGAGGACACAGGGGCCCCATGATCTCCTATTGCCCAGGGGCCCCATGAGTTGTTAGTCCACCCCTGTGCAGCACAGACTGATCATTCAGGCACTGCCCGAGGGCCCAGGGTCAGTAGGGGGCCCATGAGATGCCCCTAGTACCTTTCATAGGCTTGTTTGGGTGTGGTTTTGAGCAGGGGCGGACTGACCATTTGGAAACTCGAGCACTGCCCGAGGGCCCGGGGTCAGTAGGGGCCCCATGAGATGCCCCTGGTACCTTTTTCTTAGCCTTTTTTGAGTTTGCGCAAGGACACAGGGGCCCCATGATCCCCTATTGCCCGGGGGCCCCATGAGTTGTCAGTCCGCCCCTGGTTTTGAGTGTGGTTGAGGACACAGGGGCCCCATGATCCCCTACTGCCCGAGGGCCCCATGAGTTGTCAGTCCGCCCCTGGTTTTGAGTGTGGTTGAGGACACAGGGGCCCCATGATCCCCTATTGCCCGGGGGCCCCATGAGTTATCAGTCCGCCCCTGGTTTTGAGCGTGGTTGAGGACACGGGCCCCATGATCCCCTATTGCCCGGGGGCCCCATGAGTTGTCAGTCCGCCCCTGGTTTTGAGTGTGGTTGAGGACACAGGGGCCCCATGATCCCCTATTGCCCGGGGGCCCCATGAGTTATCAGTCCGCCCCTGGTTTTGAGCGTGGTTGAGGACACGGGCCCCATGATCCCCTATTGCCCGGGGGCCCCATGAGTTGTCCGTCCGCCCCTGGTTTTGAGCGTGGTTGAGGACACGGGCCCCATGATCCCCTATTGCCCGGGGGCCCCATGAGTTGTCAGTCCGCCCCTGGTTTTGAGTGTGGTTGAGGACACAGGGGCCCCATGATCCCCTATTGCCCGGGGGCCCCTTGAGTTATCAGTCCGCCCCTGGTTTTGAGCGTGGTTGAGGACACGGGCCCCATGATCCCCTATTGCCCGGGGGCCCCATGAGTTGTCCGTCCGCCCCTGGTTTTGAGCGTGGTTGAGGACACGGGCCCCATGATCCCCTATTGCCCGGGGGCCCCATGAGTTGTCAGACCGCCCCTGGTTTTGAGTGTGGTTGAGGACACAGGGGCCCCATGATCCCCTATTGCCCGGGGGCCCCATGAGTTATCAGTCCGCCCCTGGTTTTGAGCGTGGTTGAGGACACGGGCCCCATGATCCCCTATTGCCCGGGGGCCCCATGAGTTGTCCGTCCGCGCCCTGGTTTTGAGCGTGGTTGAGGACACGGGCCCCATGATCCCCTATTGCCCGGGGGCCCCATGAGTTGTCAGACCGCCCCTGGTTTTGAGTGTGGTTGAGGACACAGGGGCCCCATGATGCCCTATTGCCCGGGGGCCCCATGAGTTATCAGTCCGCCCCTGGTTTTGAGTGTGGTTGAGGACACAGGGGCCCCATGATCCCCTATTGCCCGGGGGCCCCATGAGTTATCAGTCCGCCCCTGGTTTTGAGCGTGGTTGAGGACACGGGCCCCATGATCCCCTATTGCCCGGGGGCCCCATGAGTTGTCAGTCCGCCCCTGTGCAGCACAGACAACTTGTTCTGGTAACTTCCAATGTTTTATCCTGTAATATGTACTGATTGGAAGCTGATTGCTTGCTGAGGGCCGCCCCCCTTCTCTCTGTCTGTTCATGTCTTTACTGTCACCTAGGGTGAGTGATAACATGAAAACTCCCAAATGATTTACTGGTGTAGACCAGGAGCCTCCAACCTCCAGGCTGAGGGCCAATAGAAGATTGTATCTGGCTGATGTGCACAGTCACTGCTAATCCCCCCCCCCCCAGTACTCTGATGGGTCTGTGATATTGGGGGGGGGGGCTCTTATGTGGACTAATGAAATGGGGGGTTCTGATGGGGACTTTAACCACCTCCCGTCCAGCCGCTGTATATAAACAGCCGGACGGTGGCAGTCCAGGGGCGGGTTGCTGTTCATAAACGGCGCCCGCCATTTTGGATTGTGCGCGCTCCCCGGGAGAGCTCAGCACCGCGGTCTGGTGCCCACTGTGTCCCCTGCATACAGCGGAACACCAATCGCTGTACGGGACCTCTGTGCGAGGTCCTGATCATGTGATCACTGACTGGCCAATCAGTGATCACATGAATAGGTGTAAGCAAGATGTCACTTGTGACATCATTGCTTACTACGTGTGAAATCTGTGAATGATCACAGAGGTCACATGGTACAGGGCCATTCACAACAGCCGTGTACCATGTGACAAGCTGTGACCAATCACAGCTCACACAGTATTTCTCAATGGCTGCAGGAATGCAGACAGAGAGAAGGAGAAATGATTCCTCTTACAGCCTTTATGGGTATAAAAGCAATCAGTGTAAAAAAAAAAAAAAAAAAAATCTTCATCACCCCCCAGAAGTAGTACAGTGTCACCATGGTGACCCCACACTGCTAGGGTGACAGGATGTAAAAACACCCAAAACATAAATAATATAAAAAAAAATAAAAATGTAAAAATTTTTTTTTTAAAAAATTAGAATTTTTGGTTATAGACTGATTTGGGTTATATTTTTTTTGTACTAAAAAGATAACGGAATAAATTTTGGCCGAGATTTATGATGAAATATTATTTATTTGCAAAATATTATAAGAAAAACAATTTTTTTCAAAATTTTTGGACTTTATCATTTATATAGCAAAACAAATAAAACTCCCAGCGATGAATAAATACCACCAAAATAAAGTTTTATCTGTCTCAAAAAAATGCTAAAAAATTCATCTGGGTACAGTGTTGCATGACCGCGCAATTGTCATTCAACGTGTGACAGCGCTGAAAGCTGAAAATTGGCCTGGGGGGGGGGGGGGGGGGAGAGGGGGGAAAGTGTCCGGACTGGAAGGGGGTGAAAGTGTCCGGACTGGAAGGGGGTGAAAGTGTCCGGACTGGAAGGGGGGGGAAAGTGTCTGGACTGGAAGGGGGTGAAAGTGTCCGGACTGGAAGGGGGGGAAAGTGTCCGGACTGGAAGGGGGGGGGGAAGTGTCCGGACTGGAAGGGGGGGGAGTGTCTGGACTGGAAGGGGGGGGAGTGTCCGGACTGAAAGGGGGGGGGGGAGTGTCCGGACTGGAAGGGGGGGGAGTGTCCGGACTGGAAGGGGGGGAGTGTCCGGACTGGAGGGGGGGGGAGTGTCTGGACTGGAAGGGGGGGGAGTGTCCGGACTGGAAGGGGGGGGGAGTGTCCGGACTGGAAGGGGGGGGAAGTGTCCGGACTGGAAGGGGGGGGGAGTGTCTGGACTGGAAGGGGGGGAGTGTCTGGACTGGAAGGGGGGGGAGTGTCTGGACTGGAAGGGGGGGGAAGTGTCTGGACTGGAAGGGGGGGGGAGTGTCTGGACCGGAGGGGGTTAATGTAAGGGAGGACTGAGGAGGAAGATGCATTTTTTGTTTGATTTGTATTAATGGCTGAAGTTGGTTTGGAATGTTTTTGTTGCTGATAATACAATTTCCTCCATTGAAGTGGCTGTAAACCCTCCATATCCCGGTGAGGAGATCGGCTTCCAGAAATGAAACAAATCCTCCTACATATGTTGTACCTGTCTAGAATTTATACAGTTTGAGCTTTCAGAAAGCAGGGGGCGGAGAGCTGAAGTTACACCCAGTGAGAAGATCTCTGACAGCTGATTGGAGGGAAGGGACACCCCCCCCCCCTCTCCACACAGCACACAGGAACAGAGCTGAGGCTGTCAATCACAGGCTGTGTGCTGGAGCTCCTCCCCTGTCACCATTGTTCCCTTCGTGGCAGAAGTGTCTCACGCTGATAGCAGAAGAGGGAGGCAGCGGACAGAGATGACACTCAGTGCTCTGGACTGAGACAAGTACACACTGTAGGGGGATGTGCTTTGTTCATATATCATGTCTGAGGTTTACAACCATTTTATTCATTTATTTTCTTTTTTTTAGTCTGGGAATATTAGTAAAAAATCCCACGTGGCCCTCGTACTGAAAGGTCTGGAGACGCCTGATGGAGATCATCTGAACTTCCCCAACTGTTTTCATGTAAAACTTTTTATTGAGAAAAAACCAGACCCCTCACTGATATGGGATCCATTTGTGAGCAGCCGCCGCCCTGCTCACCGTTACCTGCTTCTGTCCTGTATATACGAGGTGGTATCAAAAAGTTTGGGGACTCATTTTGTAACACGCCAACAGATGGTAGCGCAAGGCTGCAGGAACAGTCACAGGGAGCACCGACCTTCATAAGTCAGTGTGCCGAAAGGACATCGTCCTGTGTACATCGGGAGCTGTGTGACTGGTGCTGTTCTGACCGCGTGCGTTCCCACGTCTGATATTTCATCGTGGACGGCAAGTGAGAACAAAGAGCAAATGTGAAGTTCTCCCTGAAACCGGCAAATCTGCCACAGAGACGTCTGACACGAGTCGGCAAGTTTACGGCGATGCTGCAAAGAGTCGTTCGAGGTGTTCTGAGCGGCACGCGCGCTTCAAGAGCGGAAGAACATCACTGGAGGACGCCGGAAGATTAGGAAGACCTTCAACGAGCTCAACTCCCGGAAATGTCTTCTTCCCGAAGATGAGGATTCTGACAACATTGGCGATTTGTCCATTTTCAGGCGGAATTTCACGTTGGATCTTTGTTCTAACTTGCTGTCCACGATGAAATATCAGA